GTCAGGAGGATGGAGCCAGGCTCTTCTCTGTGACATCCAGTGATAGGACAAGGGGCAATGGGTGCAAGCTGGAACATAGGAGGTTCCACTTGAATATGAGAAAAAACTTCTTCACGGTGAGGGTGACAGAGCACTGGAACAGGCTGCCCAGAGAGGTTGTGGAGTCTCCTTCTCTGGAGACATTCAAAGCCCGCCTGGATGCGTTCCTGTGTGATCTGATCTAGGTGTTCCTGCTCCGGCAGGGGGATTGGACTAGATGATCTTTCGAGGTCCCTTCCAATCTCTAGCATTCTGTGATTCTGTGATTTTCTGAAACAGATGTGTAATATCACAGCCTTTTTTAATCCTCTTTTCAAAAACATTATAAATAACTGGAGCACATAAAGGCAATTACTACATATTCAACATAATAAGAGCACTTGAAATGGTAGGGAATAATACAAAAAGTAGGATGTACATGATAAAAAATGAATGGGAAATTATATCGGGATATGTATCAGGGAAAAGGAGAGGAGGTCACTTCAGTAAGTACCCATACTTTGTTGGGTAACATGAGAAAGAATACAAAGACTATTATTGACAAAAATAAGATTTCAATCTTCAAGCCAACCCCAGAACTCTGGGCCTAAGCACAGAGACTAGGTTAAGCCCACACAGAGATAACAAGAAATACTTTAGTTATATAAGGTTTGCTCTTTTCTGTGATTAACACTTTTAAGTCATTTGTGTGAGAGTTGGAAATTTCAGGTGTAAAAGTATCTTCCGTAACATGCTGCTTTGCCATCTGCCCCATTTTACTTTTGATGATGACATGATTTTCTAATGAACTAGATTTTCCATTAGAGATATGCTGGAATTAAGCCTGTCCATGAGGAGCTCAAAAGGTATGTATTTACAATAGCTTGGGGTCTGCAGAAATACTTGCATCTAAGCAAAATACATTTTTTTTCATTTAAAATATATATTAAAACTCATCAAAATCTAAGTGCATCAGGTGTGCTATACAAATATATAAAGTGTATCAGATGCTGGTCATAAGCAGGTTTTTGTGAATCAAAATTTAAAAACCTAAATTCCATAGCATGAACTAAAGTGCTACCAGAACATTCCATCATCAAAATACACCAACAAAACAAGAAAATATCTTGCTTTCTTCATTTAACTCTTAAAAGCATTACACACAATGCCATGTCAGTTCTAGATAAATATGCTGAAAAGAAAGATTAATATGGCCATCTAGAGGAGAAAAGAATGATGTGAAAACATGCCACACACATTTTCAGGCTTCAGAATAAAACATTTTTAGAGGCATGCAGCCAGAAAATAGATATAGTAAGCTAATTATGTAATTGATGAGTGAACCTTAAAATAATACGATCAGACACTTTGATGGTCTTAGTAATTCAAACATATTAATATTATACATGTTTTTAGCAACGGAGGCAAAGCTGTATTAATAAATATAAGATTAGAGGTGTGTATTAATAAAGAGGGTACATTAATAAAGACAAGATGATATTTTTGTCTCATAAAATTTTGTGTGCATTGTTAACTGCAAATGTATCTAAACAAAAAAAATTTAAAAGTGAAGATTAAATTGCAAACAGCTATTAGTAAAACTGTTTATTGACTCCTTTGAAAACACACAGCACACTGTTCCAAGACACAACATGTGATAGAGATTAACTGCTGAAGAGAAAATAACAGAATTTTCCAAAAATGAAACACCATTTTCATTGCTTTTATTACTTTACCTCTAAGGGAACTTTAAATTATATCATCAGAGGCTGATTTACTAGCAATAACGAGGGAGGAAACAGAGGCAAGACAAAAATGAATTATCTCGTCTCATCATGTCACTGTAGCACTGTAAACCCTGCTCAACCTATAGACTGGCTGGTGCCTTAAACCGGAAGTACAGCTGAAATGTTTAAATCTTAGAAGTAGAAATTACAAAATACGTATGAGGAAACAGAAGCATGCAAAGTCAATATATTGACAATTCTTTCTCATATTAAATAAAGCACAAAGAAATACTGCTTGCTCCCCCTTCTCTATAAAGAATCAAGAAACAGTTCTATCATTTGTCTTTACACCTCTTGTAAAAATAATTCAACAGTCATAAAAAACAACTATTTAGTGAAAAAATCTCAGGATTCCTATGGCATTAACTCTTCCAGAGATTGATTTTGCAAGTTAAGGAACAGTAAGTCTTTGAATTTTTAAAAATTGCACTGAAAAATCTAGAATTTTGACACTGTCCACTTGGAATCTGAGATTTTTAACCTCATCTGCTCAGTGAACTGTTTCTCTGAACACATATGAACTGTTTGGTAGCTCCAGACAGTCTCTTTTTTTCTGACTGCAAGCTTTCCTCATGAGGTTTCCACGTTCTCTTTTCATATAAGTTCTAGATTGGGCAGCTTTCCCTCTGTACTGATCATAACATAATGAGGCATACTTTCCTCTATTCAAACACATTTCTTTCATTGTGCAAACATTCCTCCTTTTATGTTTGAAATAACTTAGGAAGAACATAAAGTACTAACACTAATTATTCTACTGTGCCACCTTCAGGTCACTGAAAAGTGAAAAATAATGGGTTGTTAATCTGTTACCACGTCCAATACCACAAAACCCTTTTTAATAGTATTGAACATAATTTTGTTGAGATTAATGAATTACAAAGATGAGACAAAATTATCACTCTAATTTGCAAGCATTTTGCAGAAAAGTGCAGAATGACTGCAGGCTATCAAATAACTAACACTGATGATTCTCTACTCTTTGCAAACTGTGGGAAGCAGCACAAAGCAGCAGCAAAAGCAAAATACTGACAGTATTAAAGCATTTCTGCAAGTAGATGTACGCGGTTAAAAACTTACAATATTCTAAGTTACGATGTTTTGATAGTTTTTGCTTCAAAATTTTTTTCCAAACCCTGAATGTTCTTTCATTATAATAAATTCAATTTGCATGCTAATTTTAGAGTGAATATGTGTATGCATATTATACAAATGAGTTTTACATCCAGCCAGCTTCCTGAATGGAAAGAGCATTGAGAAGAGATAGCAGCTGGTGGCAGATATCTAGGAATAAAAGAAAAAAACAAAAGAGGGTGAAACAATTGTAACTTTTTTGATGCAATACTTGGACTTGACAACAGGGATCTTTTGTCTTAAATTCTAACCATGATATACATTCCCAGACTGGAATTCTCATTCCCAAGAAGAGGATAAAAGTCAGTCACTATGAATTTTTACGATCTGAGACGATGATATGGAAGACAATTATTAAAAAGAAAGCATCAAAAAAACCTGGATACAGGCTAGCACAATTACTTCAGAACTTAAATCTTATAGAGCCAAAATAAAAAGCTCAGAACTGAGAACTTTTCACTGAGAAGATAACTAGGTAGATACAAAAATCTGAACAACTGTGAATTAGAAAGAGGTATGTCACATGTTCTTCCCAACATTAATTATTCTATTATTATTTTAACAAGCAGCCTCAATAGTTTTTAAAGAGACAAATACATCACTCTCTGTATCTGAAAGTAGTCTACTTGTATAACTCGTATCTGGTACTATTTGCCAATAAATACGATTGAGTTTTCAGTCTCCTCTTAATATACATCACCATTCTTTCCCAACAGTGACGTGAGTCATACAAAAAATTAGCATCTTATCTTTCATATTTCCCCCAACAACAGATGTCCTTAGATATTTAATAAAACAAACAAACAAACAAACCAACCAACCAAAACAATACTTTCACTATCCCTCTTCCTTGTCATCCTCCATCACAATGTCCACGGATCAGTTCTTGCTGCCTGAAATCACCTCTGCACCTCCTTCCCTATTTGCTGGAACTCAAGACTCCCAGCCTTCCTACAGTTTAATGGCAAAGGAAAAAAAACAAAAATTCTGATGATCAGAAAACAAACCTGCAACTTACTTTAACTATGGTGTTCATGTCTTTTGTGTCTTAACTTGGGATCATGAATGAGTATTCACTAATTTCAAATTTCAGTGGCAAACAAACTTTTGTATAACTGAATTACCTCACATAGTAGAAAATCTAACTTTTTCCAAGCACTTCTGGACAGTATAGAACATTTAAATACTGACCTTTAATTACATGTATCAATTTTTTATTAGAAAATGCCAACCTCTAAAAAAATCTTTGCATTTTAACATATTAAAGGGATACCAACAAATACCTTACTATAGTCTATATTGTAGTTACTTTACATTTAATTCTACGTTAGTCTTACTTTGAAGTAACTTCAATCAAAGCTTACTTTCTGCGCAAGAAAATGGCTATAGATACAGTTCTCACACACAGCTACTTTCAAGCCCAAAAAGCATATTGACAAAATATCGACAGCAGAATTCTCAGCCTCTATGTCAGACAGTCACCCTCACTTAAAATCAAGAAACATATACCACAAAAGAAAACATCCATTGTTTACACCAAACTTTTAACTTCATGGAAAATTTATATTAACCTAATCCTTGTAATAATTTCTTTCTGCGATTTGAAGAAAGAAAAAGATACAGGACATTCCTGTAATGCATACTGCAATGACCACATGCACCATAACCAATAACCACTTTAGTTTACTTTGCTGTTATGACAGCTTATCAATAGAGGAATAACACATCTTCTTTGTATTAATATTACCATAGAATTAATTAACAGTTGCCATGCTTCCTTCCTAAATCAAAACAGCTTAAATTTTCCCCAAAGTAAAACTACTAATGATAGAATCGTATGAAACTTAATATAACAACATAGGACATCATTTGCAATATTTATGGAAGAATGTTCACCAGTCTGTGCCTTTTTTCTGGAGCATGCACAAAAATAAAAAGCATCTGGATATTTCTTGCAGACGTTAACAACTTGCAAGTCAAGCTGTCCTCATCTAGGACTTACCGATCCAGAAAATAATTCTGAAATTTGGAATAAAGGGAATGCTTTTAAATCACTCTTACCTTCATCTATTGAGGCTTCACTACTGTATCCATCATATTCTGCAGACAGGGGACTATATTTTTGTCTGGTTTCCCATATATAGTTTTTTTGCTGTCTGCCATCCACCACTGGCAGCCTGGAACTCTGGGTTCTAGACAAGGCCTCATGATATTTACCCAGTGCTTCATCTTCACTCTCAGATGATGAACCATGCTGGTCTTTACTCATATAAGAGTTGTCTGTTTGAATAAAATAAAGCAAATCGACTACAGCTCAAAATAGAATACAAGAAAATAACCATAAGAGGTTATCATTGAAGATATTTAATCTATTTCAAGTAAAATGTATGTAATATTTTAAAAATATCATCTTGTAATTATAAGTATTATGTGATTTTGTAACTGGTGAGAGCTATTTTTATTTTCTAGAAAAACTGAAAGATCATTAAGCCCAAAAAAACCATTCTAAAACTCATTCAACAGAAAATGGATCCATTTACGTAAGGCAGCACACACTGAAGTTCTTGAAAGCCTTCATTAAGTAAGAAAATGCTCAAAATAACTTTTGTAAATTAAATCAAACACTGATGCAATATTACATTTGGATACCTAGCATATCAAAGAAGATAACCTGCATTCCCAGCTGATTTTTGCTGTGAGCATGCAGCATAACACAGAAATGCAACTGATTTACAAAGAGAAGAGCCTATAACAAAATTGTCTTAGGATATTTACGTAAGTAGCACTTAAACTCACAATAACAAATGAGAAAATGCTAGTGAAAGATATTTGCATGCACGATATTATTTAACTTCAACAACTTAAATTTAATTTAACAATCAACAGTCCCTTGTTCAATAACTGAAATTAATGCAGATTCTCAGTACAGACATCTGGCAACAGCAAAACTTGCACAGAATAAACTATCTAGTTAATTCTTTTTTACCAGTTCCTCTATAATGCCCACTCCTGTGGTAGCATTGACTACATATCAAGTACAACTTCCTCCCACAAATTAGAGATTCAGATGCATTTTTATTTCTGTAAAAGGAAAGCTTCCCCCTCTCTTTTCCCAAACTCCAATGGATTCCGTCCAAATGTAACATGCCATGCAGAGGTTCTGTAGATCTCAAACTCTAATAGGCACGAAAAGAGTTCATGTAAACTCAATAAAGGTCAGCATTACCACTACACTGTGAGCAAACCTACAGTATATGGTTCGCCAACGGATTTGCATTACCAGCAGAGCTCTGAGATCTAGTGGAGTCCCCCAGGGTTCAGTA